GTATCAAGTGAAGAGAGCTCTAAGAGACCCGAGATTATATACAGGTTAAGGGGGGGGGGAGGAGCCAGGAAAGGCCGTGGGGGTTGGGGGGGTGGGGCTAAGTTAAGCCGCCTTTTGTTATGCTGCATGGGGTTACAGCTATTTTGCTGTGACGATTTCCACCTGAAGACAGGAAGCTTGTGTTGCCTCCGCAACGTCGTGATTTAATTTAGTTTTAATTTATTTTATTTTATTGATTTTTTTTTACCTACGTGACTTTACCGAAAAAAAAAACAAAGAGTATGAATCCTTGCAGTCACGAAAGCTTCAAATCTATAATTAGGTTAACACCGTGCCACTTAGCATCACAATGTCGGGTACCCTTCCTGTGTGTGACATCACAAGAAAACTCCTGGACTTTTTCAATCCACTTCACCCTCTGTCCCGAATGTTGATCCATTCTGAAACAATGTGACAAATTTTACTATTGCCAGCAGTTCTCTACAAGTGACGCAATAGCGCTGTGCTGTTCAGCGACGGAAAGCACGTGACTCCCATACGCAATTACTACTTCTGCTTTCCATTGTATTTGTGCCAAGACAGCACCTATACGGACATCACTAGAATCTGTATCGAGGATGAACGGTAGCGAGAAATCCCGATATGCTAGTTGGGGAGCCGTCTTTAACTTGGATTCCTCGTCAAGGGGAAGCTGCCAAAACTCTGATGACAGATTCAATCTTGATTTGAAGCTTTCGTAACTGCAGGAGTCCATACTCTTTGGTTCTTTCGGTAAAGTCATCACGTAGTTAGAAATAAAATAAAATAAATCACGACGTTTCGGGCGCACCATAAGCGTCCGTCATAATGTGGGACATCCATAGCAAGAAAAAAATGCTGAAGTGGGCGAGAGAGCAACCTAACATCTGTCTGATGACAGATCTTAGGTTGTAATATATTTTGCTCCCGCAAATGCATCTAATAAATCATCAATACGCCGCAAGGAAAACGCAAAATCCCATGGACCCATCTTGCTGTTTGACCAGTACCACTGGTGCTCCCCAAAGGCTGGTCGATGGAGGAATTATTTCTGCTCTCAACATCTCGTCGGTTGCTTTAAAGATCTGCTCTTTTATGACAGTCCCACTATATGAATTCTGTCTCACGTGTTGAGCATTCCCCATTTCAATGCAGTGCTGCATTAAATCCGTGCAGCCCAAATCATACTGGCCCTTACTGAAAATGTTGATCTCTTTGACCTTGAGTCAATTCAAGGTTCCGTTGAACGATTTCCTCCACCCAGGCAGATCCTACACCATTCTTCGCTTCCTGTATCCCTGCTACTACTACATCTTACTGAATCTCACTCGCTTGAGAAATCTGCACACTTGGACGTATCTTAAACTTGCATAAATAGCCAATGCTTTTGTCTTAACATGGATCTGCCGCTGATATCGAATGTCGACTGATTGTTGATCCCAATGGTGACACTAATTGATGCGTCCGCACGTGAGGTGATTAATGGCGATCGATATTACAAGGGAACCAACACCTGTGCTAGTGGCAGAATCGTTATTGACTCTCTCACCAGGGCATGTACTCTGCTATCAGGCCACAAAGAATATATTTTCCGGACGGTGTTTCTTCAAAACATTTTTTTTAATTCGTGCGTTCTTATATGCGTGTATTTGTTATTTTAATGATGAGTTGTCTGTATTCTCTGGTTGTCTGGATGCAAAGTGGGCAATCTTTTTGCCGAATCCTGGACAGATGAATCAACACTTAAGACATGCCGTGAAATGAGCTCCATTGCTTGACTGAAATGGGCATTGTCAAGATGAGTGCCAATTTCTGAACTAGGTAGCTGGCTCAGGTTTCGATCTTGTTGACAAGGTCCCGTTCTTTTAGCAGGGCTGGTCGCCTTGTAAGTGATTCGTTATTGCGAGTTCACACCAATTCTGCTACAGGCCCCGAATAAAATTGTTTAATGCTCAGTTTAAATTGACACCTCTAAACGAGCGTTCATTCAAGCTCTGTCGTCGCGACAGTTTTGTTCTTTCACCTGAAGAAGGCTATTTGTGTTGTGGCCGAAACGTCGTGATAATTTTATTGTCTTATTTTATTGTATTATTTTATTCTCATTCTACGTGACTTTACCGAAAAAACCAAAGAAGACGTGTAAAATATTTTGGGGATAGTCCGCACCTCCATATACCCCGCAGGGTCTTGTTTTGTTTGTAAAAAGTGGTATACCCCGCGGGTTATATGCGGGGAACATACGGTAAAGATCAGCTGACACGACTCAACAAACCCTTTCAAATTGAATATTTAGGAAAGACTCCGCAATGTTCGTTGCTAATTCTTCGTTAACTGCACCTGCTGCCACTGCTGCTGTTTCCTCCTAAAGCGTGGAGGCCGTGAGCTGCTGCTCTATTTGCAGTGCAACCTCGCATTGTGACGTCGTCATTACAGACGTGGGCGCCTTTTTCACCGCCCTGAATGGGTCTCAAACGGCGTGGCAAAAATGCGAAGCTCATCGCAATGAATGAAGGAAGATCTCTCACTCTGACACCTTCACGGCTGCCCGAGACCTCCCAAAGGCACACGTCAGACTGTGTTGTGGCGGTTTCTAATTTTAAAAAAACTTAAAATTGTATCTTCATGAGGCAATTCACGGTGAAGACCCATTATATTTTAATTGTTTTTAACACTACAAAACAATGTATTAAAAAAAAGTACTTTTTGAAAAAAAAATCTCATCTCCAGCTGCTTGGGAGGCTGGCGCCCCAACGCCCCCTAGTGGACGAACCGCGCCTGCATGCAACTCAGTGGGCAAATCTCGTAGAGTTCCAGAACTTCGCTTCCCCACACACAAGGGGGTGGGTAGCCAGCACCACGTCCGGTCTCCCAGTGACGTTGTTTACACATCATACCATGTACCCATTTGAGGCTTTGTCGACCGAAAGGGGGGGCCCAGGACTGATTCATATAACAGTCGCTGTGTTGGCCATGAACAGGAATCGAACTCAGGTTGCTGGGTTTATAGCACAGCGTGCTCACCGCTACACTACCACTCCCCTACTATTCTTACTCTCCACCGACTGATCACTGTCCCCTGTTTTGCAATGCTCTTAGCGAGGGCTTACTGAGACTGTCACAACTCGTGATGGGTGCTGTGACCAGAACTATGCCTTGGCCACCTTGGTTTCGTTGACGCTGATGTTTTCACTCCACACCAGGTACTAAGTTATGAATGAATACCACCCTACAGGAGGGCCAGGGTAAGTTAGGGTATCACTCGAGTAGCACTGTACAAACCACTGCGCTACCGCTCTCCTCCACATACACACACTCTCGCACATATGAGACATACATTTTTATTGTCATAGTACTCAAGTTTATTCATATAAGATATATGTCAAGGTACCGTGTGATTGAACAGACAACTCCAGAATCACAATTACCCAAGTTACATAGACCTACAAAACCCCAGAGACGAAATACACCACTGTATTCCAAGATTAATTAAATCATTAGCAACATGATGAATACATACCAGAAGCGTGTTATCATTAATTCAAATTAAATCATACGTCTGAACACTACGTTAAATCATTAAAAAGCATTACAATTCAAGCAAACTAGTCAAGACAGTCGAGTGATTATACAAAATTCCAATTCACCACGCTTACGTAATGTGTGTAATCACCGCAGGACAAACCTCAAGTTATTGTCCTTTGAGGTCCAGCACTGACAAAAACGAATCGGGTTGCCGTGATGTAATGTTTCACGATTGCAATGCAAGACACGGTTTTTCAGATTTACCGATAGCAATCACAATCTCGCACAGTAACAGGGCCATGTTCAGGGAAACTTATTTAGATTGTTTTCAATCGGAGTGGCAACATCTTCTCATTCTAACGAGAGCAGGGTAATAATTATATCCAATCATTGCCTCATATCTATTTTACAGCCTTAAGCCAGCAGCGTAAACTCTACATTCCAATGGCGGAAGCTTGTAACTAAATGTGACAAAGTAGTACTAATTTTATGCAAACTGGATAAGAAAGAAGATGGGTCGGGTGCTTGACTGGTAACACAAGTCCTTTTAAAATATATAATCATGTTTAATACAAGGCAGTTTGTATTAAGACTGCGTCTAAAGGCAATCACATCTCAAGATGCTGTCCAACACAATGGTACATGTGCATCATGAGGAGAACGGAAGGAGTGAGTATTTACTCGCCAATTCCACTCTGCTAGGTAAAGCACACAAAGATAATTGTATCATCTGACTAAACAAAAAGGATCAATAATGTGACATGGTATGCATGGATACGCACTGACTGCTTCACATGGAAAAAGCATTTGGTGCTTATGAACGAGACAAGTAGCAATGTGAACCTTAAGATTTTGACACGAACAAGTTACACATCACAAATGTTTACAATATCATGTTTTCAGAATTGCTAAAATACGTAATGCACTACAAGAAAGTTATTTTCACAGTGCAGGTTCGTGTGTTTAAACTTCACATCTTTTAAAACTACGCATATATAGGTTGAACATATTTCAGACAATGAGCAGGTTGAGCCTGGATGGCGCTTAAATTATAATCAACAACGATGTATGAATTTCGATTTAAAGCTTTCGTGACTGCAATGATTCATCTTCTTTGGTTCTTTCGGTAAAGTCACGTAGAATGAGAATAAAATAATAAATTGATAAAATAAAATAACACAATAATATTCTCATGACGTTTCGGCCACAACACAAGCGGCCTTCATCAGGTGAAGGGACGAGACTGTCTGGTAGGACAGCGCTGGAGTGAAAAGCGCTGTCCTACCAGACAGTCTCGTCCCTTCACCTGATGAAGGCCGCTTGTGTTGTGGCCGAAACGTCGTGAGAATATTATTGTGTTATTTCATTTGATCAATTTATTATTTTATTCTCATTCTACGTGACTTTACCGAAAGAACCAAAGAAAACGATGTATGACATACGTGGCTGTATTTTGATCAGCAGTGGGCAATCCGGTCACATAACATATTCAACCAACTAAGTAATTTACGTTATTTCCTCAAGCAAAGGATGCCGTTTATGCCAATTCCAAATGACTATGAAACACCAGAAGTCCGAGCTACTCAGTGAAATTACCAAGCACTTTCTTCCAAGTTGGGAGAAGTGGTTTTCTTTACAAGCACGAAGCAGCCCGAGATTTTAAGTCCCATTCCGCTGTTGACTAAACTCAGTATTCATCAACGTCATCCCGGCCCACTAACTGAAAATATCTATGACATAGCATTGGCCAAATGATGTCAACCAATGATAACGTTGTAATTGAGTCTTGCGCCAATGTTAATTACGATATCAATCAGAGAACACACAAAGCTACACCATTCCCAAATGATAGTGAAATATAAAATAAAGGATACGTTTGTTTAATGATCAAGATCTAATGGGCTACTGTAAATAAAATGCATTTATAGCACGAAGAAGGCGAATGACAAACTGACGTCGCATTGAGCAATTGTTCCCATTTAGTAACTTGATAATTGTGTTGAAACTATTTCTTCCATAAGTCTGCAATCGCCTCATCCTTTGTAATTTTTGTCCAGCCCTCTGGAATGGTGCCACGGCCTGTAAATTGTAGTTTGTAAAGCCTCTCTAGGTCTGACTTAAATCTGCAGACAAACCATTTCCAATATGGTTGAACGGTTAAGTCCGGCGTGATGTTCCAACTTGCATATTTTGGCCCTGCTGTACGATAATCCTTATATGGTATTTCATTGTCTTCTGAAAGCATTAACCACCAGTCACTTGCAACTAAACTTGTACAAATATCAATGGAAAAAGTATCTGTTTTACACCATTTCCCCCCTGTCACTGCCTCTGGCCGATGAATCGGAATGCGGTGGTTTTCGTCATGACCGGGTATTGTGTTTGTGCAGATGGCTTTACAGAATGGGCACTGCACCCAGCACCCACTCATCTGTTCACGTAGCATGTCTTGAGGTTTGTTCCTTACGTCTTCTATATCCCTTATGGATGCTGTAGAATATTCTTTTTTCAACTCTGCCACCATGGTTTCCAATTTTGTGGCTAGTTCATATCTAAAGCAGGGAATGTCATGTATGTCTTTGTAGTCAGCTCTAATCAAACTGTGCCTTGGGAAATGGATGTTGTCACCAAGCTGTTTACAAAATTCATCCAGCCACGATGATCCATCGCCTTTGTTTGACTGGACGGCTGTGATTGAATTCGTAATTGCAGTGGAAACTTTTCCCGTGTAAAACTCAAGACAGGACTCAAATATTTCTCGAATTTTAATATTTTCTTTTGCTGAGCAATATTCCTCAACACCTTCTGTAATGTATTTTTCAAAATATTGTTTTGGTTTCTGAATGTATTCCTTAAATTCCACGAATTGTTCCTTCTCTGCTAAATGTATCAAAATGTAGTTTTCTAAATTTGATCGATTCCCATTAAATGCCGGACAATCGGACTTCATTTTGTCTACAATTTCAAGGCTGGCTTTGTCACAGACTGCCTGGTGCATGGCTGTTTTAAGTTTTCTAGACAAAATTTCAGCAAATATAGTAATGTTTGCATCTCCGTTACATCGAATCTTAAAGCTGTTGAAGTACTCTTCTTTCTTGCTGCTGAAATATATTAGAGGATCGTTTGCCCTCTGAAAATCATCATCTATTTTCTGAAACCTCACTTCAGCATTTGCCAATATGTGTATTGCTAAATCTAGCATATACATATTTGTGACCTTTAGTCTTGCATGTTGTTTGGAACTTGAATCTACAGCTGCCAGCATAGATTTTATTACGTTATGCAGATCGGTTTGATTGTAACCAAGCTTTCGTTTCTCAAGAGATTTAATAACCTCGCCGGCTACATAGCGTGCATCCTCTGTAATTTTTTGGACGATGGCAGTTTCCTGTAAAATAGTGGAAGAGAAAAATGGATTAACCTGATTCCAGACGCCTTTTCGTTTAACCACAATATGTTCTCCATGACAAAACAAAAATTATTTATTTTCAGACATTTTTATCAATTTTGTGGATAATTTGTCTTCACTTTTAAAATGTGCATAAAGCGTATTTTCTGCTTGCATTCTAAAAGCTATTTTTCCAGGTGGGGTAACGCTTTTTTTCACTTCATTTTTCCATTCTTCCCACATTGTCTCAAACTTTTTTTCCAATTGGTCATCTTTCACTCCAGAGGTTTTCAGTTTCGAAGCCAAATCCTTGCTCTTTTTTAAAAGCTGATCCTCAAAGCTGGATCTATATTCATCCAGACAGTTCCATACACTCTTTTGATTCCTCAAAACAGTAATTTTTTTGTAACTATCAGTCACAAGCTCGTCCTTAATTGTTTCAAATTTCACGATGAAGTTAGTTTTCCATTGACTCAACAATTCAGCAGCATGTAGTCGATTAAAATATGTTTCAATGTCTTTTCTGATCTCGTTGTATTTTGGAGAAAGGGTTTGCTCAATGTTTGACCTAGTCAAACTAGACAATACGTCTGTCCTGTTATTAATAATATTATACATCTTATTCTCTTCTTTAATAAGATGACTCCTAAGGCTCCAAGTACATTTCCCATACATGTCTTCAAGTTTGCTGTAAGCTGCACTCTCGTGGGAGTTATTGAAGCTAAACACAAAGTCTTCTGAAAGCAATGCATTCCACAAATCTCGGATACGATTTTTCAATTCTGATATTTTTAAAACGTGACTTTTTGTCTTGATGATGCTATCTTTAAGTTTTTTAACATGTTGGAAGTAGCTTTGATTTGACGGAGCCATTGGAGGATCGTCTTCCCAAAAATGAGAAAAGAAATGGATCTGAGAGTGCACGTCGAACCCAATCACCTCGTCAAATGAAACAGCTTTGTACTGCTCCTGTTCTGCAGCCGTGCGAGTCATCTCGTCTAACATATCCTGGAAGAGTCTCCTTCCATCCATGACATTTTCTTTTAAAGTCACATCCCCGACATTTTGATGGACAAACACACAGCTTGGTGACAATTTCACCTGCTTCATTTTCAGAAATGCCTGCACTGCGATCTGTATAATGTTGTGCATCTCAGAGGGATTATCTCCAAAAGTATTGATCACGGTCATGTTTGCAAGGCCGATCACAAATGTAGCCAGTTCATTGTCAAGAGTGGGTGTCGCATTTGATAGCTCTGGGGCACAGAGCCCTTCTGTGTCGACTATCAACACAAAGTCATATCCCAGCTCTTTGCTGAACTCTTCGTCCACCTTCAACAACTGCATGTGGACCCCTCGGGTGCATCTCCCAGCACCCACAGGGAACTGGAGACCGAACATTGCATTCAGCAGCGTGGACTTGCCACTGCTCTGTATGCCCAGTATGGAGAGGACAAATAGTTTTTTGTTCCCAATTTTTTCAATAACTTCGTCCAAAACTGAGCAAATCCAAGTGAGGGGGACATGTGAGGCATCACCGTCCATGAGTTCAAGAGGGATCCCAGAGAGCATCAAATCTGCTGCGATGCCTGGCAAAGCAGCCGAGGGCTTGTCAGCTGTGCGCGGTGTCTGTGACGCTTCATAGATCTGCCCAACTTCCCTGAAAAGGTGATGGATTCCAAAAGAGGATGCCTCATGTTTTTCTGATATTCGTTCCAGCTCTGCTTGTTGTATAGACAGTAACCTACTGCCAATAACTGTTCTCCTGGACTCAAGTATTCCTTTCGGAGCCTGGTGATACTCCTGATGAAGTTGTGATATGCTACCTGCAGACAGGTTATCTAAATAGATTTGTAGCCAATGCAGTGAGTATTGTTTTACTGAGTCTGCATGATGCCCCATATTCTCAATGAACGATCTCATTAATTTATTGAGAGGAGATGCTTTGTGAAGCTGGGCTTCCCGTATTGATTGTTTTTCAATTGCAATGTTGTCCCTGTACTCTTCAACGCTTTGGTCCCCCTCTACTCTCAAGCGAGCGAATTCTTTGTCTTTCTTGCACCACTCGTGCCACAATTTACCTTGAAGAGGCAGAAAAGTCTCCTTCATGGAAGACAATGGCTTGTCCTTCAGAAGACTCAATAAGACGCCTGCCATAGACTTGCCTTTTTTACATTGTTCATCATCTTCATCAACACTGAAGCCGCACTGTCTAGCGATGGCTGAGCAATCATTAATTGTAACCGTTTGTTTTGAATTGGCCAACATATATTTGAGGGTTGACTTCAATTCATCCATTAGTTCAGCCTCATTTCTATTCTTGACACCAATTTTTACCTTTGTTTTATAATGTCCACCCAAGATTCGTTCTTTGTCAGCCCAAAGGCAAAGTAAAGGCTTTGGAGAATTTAGACAATCTACCAAAATGCTTTTAGCTTCATCATTGTTATCATAATCTGACATTAATATCACGTTGACAGTGGATATCTCGAGGAGAAACTGCACCTGCTTTTTGTGCTCTCTCGCATCTCCATGGAGATTTGTGAACGCTATGCAGTCATTAAAGACGTCATCATCCCTCCCACCTGGACAGTACCAGGCGATCTCTGTGACTCCTTCCATTAGGAGACCATTCTTGCTGCTGCCTCTGCAGTGTCTATGAAAGAAAACTTCATTCTTTTGCTTTCCAAGCAGAGAGTTCAGCATCTGAGATTTCGATGCGGGTGATTCACCAAACCTAATGAATGACACTAGAGGAGTGTCAGCGTTAACAATCGCACAGAGGTTGGTTTGCTGTATCTCAGTAGATGCAGCACGGGATTTCCAGCTCTTTTTAATCTGTCGGAATGCCCATAGAGGGAATTCTATTTCTGAGCTACAAGGATTTGGAACTAAAAGCGGCAGTGCAAACTGGCAAAACGAGAGTTTGGTGTAAATGTACTGCCTCACAAAATTGTCTCCACAATGAAAAATTGCCATTTGCAAATCCATTGGGTGAACATGGCTTCGAGTTTCTGTCGTAGACCAATCTTGACTACTCACAATACCATCATGGTTAAAAAACTTTTCATAATTAGAGTTTTCATTCTGCATGGTTTCATTGTTTTCATTTTCACCCAGAACACTAACATACCGTGCTTCGGAGTCAAACATCATCAGTTTCTGCAAATAATGAAGAACAAGTTCTTCTTCTGTGATTGGGGCTTCTTTAAGTATTTCTGACTTAACAACACACATATGCTTTGTGTGCATTTTTTTCGGGTAGTATTCTTGAAGCCCCAGTATTTTACACAGATTCATAAACGTTTTCATCCCCTCTGTTTCACTCTCAACCTTCGATGTCTGCGAAGGAGCCAATGTGATAGTCAGTGTCCCAGCAACAAGAGATTTCAAAGTTTCCTCGAGTCGGTTCCAGTCAATGGGGCCTCCATCATAGACCAGCACCACGTTTGATACTTCGGTGCAGATGTTTGCATCCAAATAGGATTTCATGAACGTCAGATGTTCCTCTATTTCCAGGGGGGTCCGTGAATTAGACTGTACTCCTGTAGTCAAACCGTTCAAGAGGACGTACGCCTGAGCCTTGAGAGCACTTTGAGATTTGAGAGCTGAGTACTCGCTGTGTGCCACGTCCACTTGGTGCTGAAGGCAGTTAACGTCTTCATAGTCGAGGAGGCGATCGAACGATCTCTCCTTTGTACGGAACCCTGAAGCAGCAGCACATGAAATGAACAGGAGCTCCTCCTCCATCCGCTCCATTTCTCGGAAGCACCGGCAAAGGGAATTGAGGGAAAATGTGATTTCATTGGTTCCCTTCACCTTTGCTTCATTCAGTGCAGTTTCAAAAGAAGTCGGTGCATCCATTGCTTCTTTTAATTGTTTCTTTGTTTCTGTAAATGTCTTGCCAAGGGAATTTAGCTCAGCATCAAGAACCCTGACTGTATCAGACCCATACACCCACTGCGTTATCGAGGAGCGCTTGGGGAAGTTCTCCACTGCATAGATGTTGGGTTCCAATAGGTACCGCATTTTTATTTTTATCCAATCGGTTTCGTCACAAGAAGAGTGCTTGTATGCCGATACAATCCGCGTCAAGAATTCCTGAAGGGCTGGGTGTGAGAGACACGTGTCAATCCAGCTCCTGTTAGTTTTTGTGCATTCATACAACTTCTGTTTTAGATCCGCCAGCATTTCCAGATGAGTGTCATTGTCAGATTCTTTCCACTGCTTCGCATCTTCCATTATCGATTGCGCTTTGACATTTATGTCAGCCAATTCATCCTCTGGATAATTATGTACTTCTTTTTTTGTTAAAATGGTGTAAGCTTTTTGAAGATCACTGGCCAACTTCAGGACATCTTTAAAATCGCATTTATGATTGGACCGGACGATGTCCCATACTGGTATAAACCTGATTCCTCGGTCGATGAGAAACCATGTCCTATTGTTGACAACAATAGCAGATTCCCACTGAGGGAGATTATGTACATCAGGATTACCCCCTGTTGTGGTTACAGTCATCTGTATCACATCGGTGAGCACCGGGCTGTAATGTCCAGAATCACTTGGAGCTGGCTCAGTTGTCATTACAGTACCTGTATCAGTCGTTGTACTACTGCCGCAGTCGGCACCAATGTTTGGTTCGAATAACTCAGACAAGAGCAGTTTTATTTCATCTTGCTGATGTAAACTGAAACCTTTAGCTGATGCCTTCCTCCAAAAAATTCCTCCAAATTGGAGAGGACCCTCGTTTGCGTGAGAGCCAAAATTGTGGAAGAATTTGCAGCTCATGCTGGAAAACACGTTGCTTTTAAAATCTTCCTTTGTATTTTCCAACGTATTCTCAATCATTTGTAGCTCCTTCAGGGCTGCTTCAGACAGCCTGAGTTGTGCCATATGAAGATTACCTGAGGCTAGGGGCAGGTACGTAAACTCTGTTCTGGAAAGATAGGAATGATCAGTCTGAGTATTTTGCATTTCCTTAAGATTCATTGATTTGACTTGCATTAAGGCTGGTTTTCTACTCAAGGACGAGACGCATCCTTTCTCGGAGACAGTGCTACTGAAGCCCATGACTTCCATGGTCTTCCTGAACATGGATTCATCATTGAAAGAAATAAACTCGTGTTGTTTTGTCTCTGACTTGCCGACCAGACCCACGAGCCGGAATGTTTGTGGGATCGTCAAGAGTTTTCCTCTCTTTTCTAATGCATCCTCTAACTTTCCACTCATATAAACCCCCTCTAGTGCAAGACCTCCTGATGCGTTTTGTAAAATCTCTGTATCTGACAAACAATGTGTTGAAACAGATGGACATATTTCTTGGGCAGGCTCGTGAATTCTCTCAGACACGACAGAAGGCAACAGATTATCAATTTGTATATGTGGAGCCAAGCTCACTGCCTTTTTAGCACTGACAACACCATCAGCAGCAACAATGCCAAGCATTTTATAAAATGCCCGCTTTTCCCACTCTTTACGGAAATGTGAGTCCAGTTCTCTGCTGTCCTGCTGGTCGAGGTGAAGCAGGGCCTGTGCATTAGAAATCAGCAGAACCTCACGCAGTTTCTGTTTCCAGTAAACTGTGTCAAGACCCACATCTCTGAGCTTTTGTGCAAGTTCATCGTCAGCCTGGCTTCTGCATTCCTCTTCGTCCTCTCCAGACATCGCCTAGGGAAAGGCACGTTATTACAATTACAATGTTTTACAACAAAAACTTTAAAATAGTTTTTTTCAAAAAAAATAAGAAACTCGTCAGAGAAGTGCGTTCTAAAAACATAAATGATAAGTGCATGCACATCATGGCAAGGGTACACAGTTGTAACTGGGTATACAATACAATATATAATGAATACTACATAGTGAACCAATAAAAAAATACTCAAATATAAATTACCTCAATGTTATCAATAAACTCTATATTCTCCAATCAGCTAAGCTACCAACAATAAGTCGTTATATATCACAATGCTATATGGCGAAAAATGGGTGGATTCTTACCCTCAACTTTAGCAACACGGATAGCTACGGGTCCCGTTCTGTGTTGCTAAAGTTGAGGGTAAGAATCCACCCATTTTTCGCCATATAGCATTGTGATATATAACGACTTATTGTTGGTAGCTTAGCTGATTGGAGAATATAGAGTTTATTGATAACATTGAGGTAATTTATATATTCTAGTATTTTTTTTATTGGATCACTATATAGTATTCATTATATATTGTATTGTATACCCAGTTACTGTGAATAGCTCAGATGTGTAGGCCTTAACTTCAACATAGCCTTTTCTGTGACCAGTCACAAGCTAATTCACTCAGTTATTTCAATGCTAAATTCGCCTAGTTATTTCAATGCTAAATTCTCCTGTTTGATTTGTACTAGGTGCCTCGGTGAATGTATATGCTCTGACTTTAACATAGCTATTTCTGTGACCAGTTACAAGCTAATCACTCAGCTATTTCAATGCTAAATTCTATGCTAATTCCTTTGTCAAGGAGTGCCTCTGCGGATGTGTATACTTTAACTTAGCTATTTCAATGCTAAATTCTATGCTAATTCCTTTGTCAAGGGGTGCCTTTGCGGATGTGTATGCTTTAACTTTAACATAGCCTTTTCTGTGACCAGTCACAAGCTAATCACTCAGCCCTTTCAATGCTAAATTATATGCTAATTCCTTTGTCAAGGCGCTTTGTTTCTTCTCACACAGCTTTAAGGTCGTGATCTCAGCGTGGCTTTCTCACTCCAGCGCTGTCCTCCAGACAGTCTCGTTCCCTTCACCTGAGGAAGGCCGCTTGTGTTGTGGCCGAAACGTCGTGAGAATATTATTGTGTTATTTAGTTTTATCAATTTATTATTTTATTCTCATTCTACGTGACTTTACCGAAAGAAACAAAGAAGATATCAACAAGGTCTCAACAGGGATTGGTCAGGAGGCAGGCTTTTGAAGTGATTGTAGGGAAAGTTTTTAATGAGAATAGGCAGGAAACAAAGCAGAACCCAGAGGCGACGGTTTGGCTCCATTAGAGGGAAAGTTCAGGGATTTGCCGAGAGAAATAGGATGAGGGAACATTTGAGAAAGGGGGCTGAGGGATATATAAGGGGAAAGCACGAGGAGTAGGGTCGTTCGGAGGAAGACACAAGCTGGAAGACACCAAAGAAGCCAAGGGTCCCTTATTGTGTAATTCCGTAATAGGGTTCCTTATGATGTCAACTCAATAAAAGTGGCTCTTCTTATTCCTAGTCGTCGGAGTCATTCAGTAAGTATTAACACTACATATGTATGTATAACTTATTTTGCACCATATGTAGCCTACCGTGCTAATAGACGTGTTGATGGACAACTAACCACAAAAAGCAGTTCTAAAGAAATTAGTTTTAATCTATATTTGAAAGTGCATAGCTCCAGTGGCTTCCTAATATTTGAACGAAGGGCGTTTCAGATGACCACAGAAGCACATCTGAAAGCACACAATGCAGTGACCATCTTTGTTCGATCACTCACCAAAAGCCTCTTCGAGGATGACTGGAGTTCGAGTGATTAATTAGGTTTCTTGACAAGCTCAGAAAGGTATTGTTAATTTATGGCAAGCACTTTGTGTATAATGAGTGTGACCTTATTTATCATTTCGGCAACAGGAAGCCAATGCAGCTCGGCGTGCACTAGATGGACATGGTCGGATCTTATAGTACCCATCACAACACGTTCGAATGAATTCTGATTTTGAGCTCTAAATCGCCCTACACACTTTCGCCACGGATGACACATTATCCAACCAATCGCAAGGAGTGGCTGCTTCCGCCAATATTTGATGCAGAATATGTACTGTGTGCGTCAGTTCGTATGCACAGTCGCTGCTTCTCGCAGTGCTGCAGGCCGACGCTGCTCGGCCTGAGCCGACGCTGCCCGGCCCGCACAGTCGCTGCTCCCTGCAACACCGCTCAGCGAGGCTGCTTGGCCTGCACAGCCACCGCTCCTGCAGCACCTGAGTGGTGGCCATTCCCGGCGGCACCGTGGGCTGGCGCTGCACAACCTGGATGGGGGCTGCTCCCTGCACCACCACTCGCTGAACTGGCCCAAGCACTTGCTGAGCCACCGTGGCCACCAGCTGAACCACTGTGGGCGCTCGTTGGCCGCAGTGGGCCCATGCTGGGTGAGCAGGCCGGCTGGAGCCAGTCGGGGAGTTCACGGCCGGTGGAGGCAGCCTCTATGCGGACCTTCAGGGCTGCGATAGAAGTCGATGGGTGGAGGGAAGGGGAGGTGCTCCAGGTGCTGCCCGCTGCGCTGGGTGGCGATTTCTGGTTTAGTGTGGAGTGGGGGTGCTCTTGGGCCTGCGGGTTGCCGTGCCAAATAGTGTTGTAAAGAGGGCCTTAAGACATCTGCCCCAGCAAGGTGCTGCTACCATGCTCTCACCCTCTCCTCCTCAGACACGGCCACAATGGAGATAAAGGAGGTTCTGCCGGTTTTGAGTTCTGGCAGGATGGGAGTGTCGGGCGGACTCAGGGTCATCCAGGCATGCGCTGGGGAGCTGTGTCACCAGGACAGGCATACCGTTTCAACCACACGCGGGTGGACTAAATGCATAACAATTTTGTGAAGGCAATGCACCTGGTTGTGTTGGCAGGTTGTGCATGGGTGTTTTCCTTAATTTGGCACTCAGCGCAGGGGTAATCTAATTTAGTTGGGCTTGCGAAATGCAGTCCATAATCAGCCGTGGTGCCTTTTCCCCTTTTCGAGGGCCTGTGTTTGGCATTGACCAAGGATGCTGAGAGTTGAATCTCATCACTTTTGGAGGGTTGAATTCCATGACCCCTGGCCTTGTAGCCTTGTGCTGTTTGAGCCTTTTTGTACTCATTCTTCAGGGTGAGATACCCCGTGGCAGTCAGAGAGAAGTCTTCCTTCTCTCTTGTGCATTCCCATGGCCCAGGGACTAATCAATGTATTGCATAGCTCCAAGGTTGTTATCTTAAAAACAGTTGTTGGACGTCCTCTATTATAGCAAGCGTTTATAGCTGGAATTCTGGGCTTATGGCGGTTGGGGCTTGCAATAACCGTGCCTCAGGGTGAGCAATCCCATGGTGGACAGAGAGAGGGGTTTTTTCTCTCTTGTGCATCCCATGGCACACAGGCTTATTCATTTATTGCGTTGGGCCAAGACTGTTGTCTTAAAAACAATTGGACATATCCTACCATTGCAGGAAATGTTATAGCCGGGACGGCTGTTTCTTCACCAGGGGGAGCGGGTGATGTTGGGTACTAAACGGAGAACCGTTAAACATAGCTACTAAATATTTTGGAAATATAAAGAACAGGTTTTGGAAAGATAATTAATAACACGGGTGGCTGGATGTCTAACATCCGGAGACGAACGAACCTGTCGCAAGCGACTACAGGTGGTAGCTAATTAAGGATGGGGAGAGAGATATAAAAAGGGAGCATCGCCAAAAGTTGTGGCACATGCCTGGGATGAAGACGAGTTGGTGGCTACGCTCGATCGGTACTCATCGAAGAGATTTGAACTCCCACACATACGAAAATAAAGATCATAACTTCGTCTTCATGAACGTCTCGTCGGAGCATCTTTACACATGTTACGTACAATTAGATATGTATAGTATTCGTGTGTACATCCGTGGATGCAGGCAAGGCCAATGAGTCAGATGCCTTCTATGACCTCCTGTCACAGGTGCTAGCTAAAGTGGCCCCTCGGGATAGAGTCATCTTGTTGAGTGACTTCAATGCCCCAGTTGGTCATGATGCTGGCACCTGGTCTGGAGTGATTAGTAGGCATGGGCCAGATCATCTGTAAGAAGCGCCTGCCATTCTTCCACTCCGGTGGTGGGTGTACACCCAGGACCACATTCCAACCTAAGGTGGCCTGGTCTCAGCTAGCTGATGGAAGTTGCAAGTGAGAATTTCATCATCGCTTGCGGCTGGAGTTGGCATCGTCCCCCACTCCTCCTGATGTCGAATGTAAATGGGTGAGGTTTAGTACTGTGACGCATGCAGCTGCAATGGCTGCTTTGGGTACGCGGTCCAGACCTCCCCAGAGACCCTGGCCGACAGAGGAGGTGTTCCGAATGGTTGAGAAAAAGCAACAGGCCCACTCTCATCGTCTACAGTATCCCATGTCAGAGAATGACGAGGCTTTCCGCAGCCTTCACTCGGAGGTTCGGAGAGCTGTGAGGCACTACAGGGATGGGTGGTGGTCGCGGATTGCTGAGGAGATGGATTCTGACGCAATCGCCCGCGATCACAAATCCCTATTTAACTCCATCATAAAAGTAACTTGCAGCGCCATACCTATTACCATCATTAGGGGATAGAACGGTGATCCAATCTCCGACCCCCAGGAACAGGTTTGCAGATTTGCTGAGCATTTCTGTGAGGTTCTGGGGGAGGGGAAATCCCTCTGCCTGGAAAACATAATGGGACAAAGTGGGGATGACCCTGCTGAGGCTGCGGTGCCTCAAATATTGGAGAGGAGGTCACCCCCTGTGAGTAGCTGGCTGAGATGCCATCCGTTGAGGAAGTACTGAAGGCGATCCAGAGTCTGAGACCAGGAAAGGTGAAATGCTGAGGGAGGGTGGCGTTTGTGCGCAGACTGCCCTACATGACATCATAATAAAAGTCTGGGCCACTGGACGGGTTCCGCAGGATTGGAAGAATGCCCTGGTGGTCCTCCTCTTTAAGAAGGGGGACCACACAGACTGTAACAACTACAGGGGCATCTCACTCCTCAGTGTGCTGGGAAAGGTCCTAGCAAGGATTATTCAACATCGCCTTGCTAGGCACGCTGAGGAG